AAAACCAGCCTCAAGCATCTCAAACTAGAGTCAAACTAGCTCCGAAAGTTTTCTAGTCAGTTCTGGGAAATCATCTTCCTGCTTTTATAGACCCTGGCACTGGGCCAGAAAAATTATGAAGCCCCCAGGGGGCAGGGACTGTATCTTATTCAACTTGGCTTCCCTCAGAGGACTTGGTAAAGCGCCTGGCAGATGCTCAGGAAATGTGCACTGAATAGAACAGTATCTGTTACCCCAAAGACCAAACGGTAATTAATGTCTGCAAATGGGGAGGACAAGCCTACATTTCACTAGGTACCTTCTGAATGACAATCATGCTGTTGGAGTGATGCAAGACCCCGTGCCTTCAAATCAGGTGCTGAAATAGAAAAGTCCGAAGTCTGAGCCCTTTATGTTGCACAGAAGCCGTGTGAAATTCGAGCACATTATCGCTCACCAAGACTCTGACAAACAGGCCTAATGAAGGCAGGGCCGGTGAGCGGGCGAGCGTGCAGATGCTGAGAGCTCCCAAAGAACAGCACAAACAAGGCTCTAATCATGGCTTCACTCAACTTCCTTCCCTGCTGCAAATTCTGAACCATGTTTAGACTTCGGCAGGAACATGGATTCTTTCTTCTCTTGAGGGAAGAAAGAAGCCAATTCCCTGGCATTCATGCTCACATACACGTGGTTTAAAGGCAGTCAGCTCCAGCATGGGCAGGGGGAGGGCAACTGAATGTGGAGTCAGAAGGGGTTTAGGCCTTGGCCCTCCTGCACCCACGGTGTGTGGCCAGCAGGATGCCAATGCCGGCTTCTGACCACAGGTGCGTCACTCAGAATTGCACCTGAGACAAGAGTAGGAGGACACGGAATTGATTTGGGAGGTGGTCTTGTGGCACACTCAAGAAGTGTGGGGAGGTGAGACAGGACAGGGAAGGGAGCCAGTCTGGGGGCATGCATGAGCAGGTTTCTGGGCGGGCAACTGAGGCACAATTCCACTGGGGACCCCTGGAGACAGAGCAGAATATACCTTGCAGTTGCCCCACCCAAGAGGAAGGATGCTGGGTGGTTTATCCTCTGCTTCTCTCTCCTCCCTGGCACAAGGTGTCCCTGAAAGCACCAATTCCCTGACATATGGCCTACTCCTTGCATGGGTGAGGGGTGCAGGTGCTTTTCATGAGGCATTTGTTCTGGAATTGTGGATGCTCTGGGAGTATGGATGTGTCATTGACGGCATCTCCCATCTACCATCTACATTGTCCTGCTGGGAATTAAAAGCTACGAAAACAACGGATCGCGGATCATCACATCAAAAACCAACGATGTATTGTATGGTGACTAACATAACATAATAAAATTAAAAAAAAAAAAAAGCTTTGGGAACCCCTGAAAACAATGTAAATGGAGGGAAGCTGGGAGTGAGGAAGGTCATTCTTAGGGATCTGAAGCCCTCCTTGGATTAAAAATGCCTCGGTCTCAAGAGGGGCCGGGGGGCTAACCCTGGCACATTATTTTAGAACAGTCCTGTTGACAAGACACATGGTTTCTCCAGCCTGAAACAACAATGGCCATCATCTTGAATTAGCTTCCGCTCACATTCTGTTGTCAAGGCTAACTGCTGTTTCCCAGACAAGTCACCAGAAACCACAAATAAATGAAGATGTTCTTAAATTTCTACAAGTCCTATCACCAACGAATCCAGTAAACGTTACCAAGAGCCGGCCAGGAGCCAGGCATCATGTCAGTAATGGGACGTGCTTCCCAGGCTTGAGAAGCCATAGAGCAAAATCTCATTTGGCCCTTTCCCCAGCCCCAGGAGCTGGGCAGGGCTGGCTTTAGTGTCACCCCATTTTCCAGAGGATTAAGCTGAGGCTTAGGGAGATGAAGTAACTTGCCCAGGGTTACACTGCTGCTGAGTTTCAGAGCAAGGACTTGAACCCAGGTCTTTTGCCTCCCAGTTAAATCAATAAACTTGCACTGGGGGCCTACTGAGCGCCAGGTGTTTGTGCTACCCTACAGCCTTGGAATCAAAAAGTGCAGGGCCATGGCTTCTTAGCTCCCCTTTTAGTCTTCTTCCCAAAGCTACCTCCCATTTCCACCTCATCTGTGTTTTAGTTTTGCAAAGGAATTAACGGAGCCTCCGATGCAATGCTTCCTCTACGGTAGGTAAAAGGGTTCGGAAGGCCCTGCACAAATAAAGAGCTGAAAGAGCATCGCGTGAGGTCTTCAGAGGAAAGGTGGGATGGGCCAGCTTCCAAGATCAGGTTAGTGAGCTTTGAGACAGCCTGGGTGTGAGTCTCGAAGCAGCCCCTGCAAAGGGATCCTCCACCACCGGGGCTGACTGTCAGCGAGCCAGCTCTGCTGTTCACTGTCCCCTCTAAAGATGAGGCAGGAGGTGAGGGAGAGACAAGCAGACAGGGAGAGAGGTGGTGTGAAGGACATGGCAGAAAACAACATGGGGCTCTATTTAGAAGCCTTTTTGAAAGGCCCATGGCATGAGGCAATTCTCGGGGTAAATCCTGGAAAGTCCCAGAAAACAGAGTCCGGGCCAGCCCAGGGAAGCATGGGCCCAGAGAAGGGAAGGAATGAACTCACCATCCCATGGTGAGTCAGGGTCTCCCCCAGGAAAGTCCCTTCCCCTGTCTGGGCCTCAGTTTCCATTCTGTGAAACGAGATGATAACCAGGCACCCTCCCAGGTTGGGCAACCTGCCCAATAATTCAGCGCCGCTCCATCCTGGCAGACAACGCACCTCTGAGATCCTCTATATTTGGAAAACTAACTCCTGTGAGGACACGAACATGCCCCCAGCATTCTAGTGGCTCATTTTAGTCCCGAAATAACACAGAATCCCTCTGTCAACAGGATCAATGTTTGTTTTAAAAACATATAAAGAGAAGCATGTGCAGGTTCAGCTCTGATGTTCACTAAAAACTGGGCACAGATGTGGTAAAGGGAAAACACTCAGGTGTAGGTGTGCTTGTGAGCACAAGGGGAAAACTGAGGTCCCATCTTAGCTCTGCCACTAACCAGCTTGTGTCCCGGGGCGGGGGGGGGAACACCTCCCTCCCCTGGGCCCCAGGATCATCTCTTAGACCCTGCCGTATCTGACATCCTACATATGGCTAAGTGTGGGGAACAGCTATAAAGGGCAGGCAGACATAAAGGCACCTGGGGGTTTCAACACACCAAGAGAATCTGGATTTGTTTCAGAAAAGTGTCATAATTTTTTTGACACAGTGCTAATCATAATTGCTGCTACTTGCTGAGCAAGAAATATATGCACATATTTCTATGTGTTATCGAGTTCTTTCCACATTCCGAGAAGATAGATAGGATTATATTCCTATTTCACAGATGAGGACTTCACACAGGTGAAGTTACTTGCCTAATGTGCTACATCAACTTGAGCTAAGGTGGGTCAGACCCACTCTGAACTATTGTTTGCTCCACTGCTTTCCTTATAAATGCCCAAAACTGGTCACTGGAGTTGGTGTCTAATCCTAACATATGAAAAAAAAAGGCAATAAAATTGGCACGCACTTGTAGCTGTGATCGGCCAATCAATATTTTATAAAATATTCTCCTAGAATGATATAATTTGAGAACTGGAAATGTGACAAGAGAATTTAGTTACAATCACTCAAAAAAAAAAAAAAAAGTAAAAGTGTCTTTGCCAAGATGCTTACTTGGTTCAACCAATGAAGAAACAAGACTTAACAAATGGGACAATAATTACATTTGCCGAAAATTACATCTTTCGCGCATGCCAGAGAGCTGACATGCGTTTCAATTACCTGCCACGGGAAGACGAATGGGTAAATCTACAAGATTGCATTACTGAGCCACAGTACCAAACACCTCTCCTCATTGAGCTAAATCCAGTGGGATTTGTCTGAATGAACCCGAATAACTCGATTTCATTTCTTGCTTTCCCCTGGATGACTTTGGGATCTGACGCAAAGTCACTGCTCTTGATCCTGGATTTTTCCAGAAACATCCAGATGCTGAAAAACACTGCAGTGAAGAACGGTGCATCTCGTGGTTTTGGCTAACGACCCTGCTGATGACCGTACCGGGCTGCATGGAGGTGTCTACCTGGAGGAAAGCCCAGCCCCGCTTCTCACAGATGCCCTGTGGGCTCTGACAAGCCCCTGCCCCTCTCCGGGCCTCTACTTCCACCTTGTCACTTGAGGAAAGTGGTCTGGAAGGTTTCTGAGCCCCTTCCAACATGGACACCAGGAAAGTCCAAAAAGCGACCTGGTTTCTTAGAATAAAAATTAAGGACCTGTTACAAGTACGTGGGGGATGATTATGGGTTAAAAGAGATTAAAGAGAAATAGCAACCAGCCATTGTGTGGGTTCTCCCACAAATTGTAGAGACATTTTGGAGATAATCAGAGGATCAACACAGACTAGAAATGAAAGGATATTAAGAATCATTGTTAAATGTTTTAGGTAGGATAATAGTATCATGGCTATGTTTTGAAAAGTCCTTATCTAGTAGGAATGCATACTGCAGTATTTATAGATTGAAATGAGATAATGTCTGGGAGCTGCTTTAAACATTATAGCAAAAAAAAAAAAAGGGTGCAGTGGGTGAGTAAAGATAAAGCAAGATTGGCAAAATGTTGATGATGGTTGCAGCCAGGTGATGGGTACATGGGGTTTATTCTGGTCCTCTCAACTTTAGGGTCTGTTTGAAAATTTCTATCATCAAAAACAAAAATAATGCAAGCTTTTTCAGAATACTGGAGGGGATTGAACCCCCACCCTCATACTTCCATGAGCTTCTCAGAGTCATGTGGGGAGACTGAATAGCCTGAGAAGTCATGCAGTTGAGAAAAATATTCTAAGTAAGTTGAAACTAATGTTTTCACAGAGAAGTGTTTTCTATTGACTCTGCTTTCTCTTATCTGGAACATCATACTTTCATTTCTTTTGATGTATTTTATTGCAGAAACACAACATCCCCGAATATAGAATTCATCAACTAGAAAGAATAAGCACCAGAAAGCCTACCTTGAAATTGAGTAAATTTAATGGTCCCCATTCTCTCCCCATTCCGGAACACAACTTGACCCTAAAAACAAAACAACACAAACAAGAACAAAAGAGAAATGCCATATTAGCTCAAACACTACTGATCTCAACTACAATTCGTAAGTGGTACAATGTGATTACTAATATTGGGAAAAAAAATAGATTCCCGTGGGGCTGCAGATGCAAAATTAAACTAACTGTTTTAAAACTGGTTGTGACTTTACCTGGTTAACTGGAGGAGAACAAAATCAATAACAGAACTAACACATGTGAATTAAAGCTGAGCTATGTGTCATCATTACCACTGTGATCATCCATGAAACCCCCACGTATCCTGTGTTATCCTGAGACAAGGTCTTCCAGGGTGCTAGAAAGATGGAGGCAGAGATGAGGCCCACGGGGCCTGGCCCTGACTCTGCTCCTGGTCCTCACCCATTAAGATGCGTGGCTCTGCTGAGGCTGTTTGGCGTGAGAACCAGAAGGGGACTGGAGGTCAGTTAGTATTTCTTATTAAGGACAGAGAATGTTTTTGTAAGTTCTTCCTGAGTGGTGACATCAGCCCCAATTATAAATGGGCTACGGGGCAGCACAAAATGAAGGTTCTTGAGCCAGAGAGACCTGTGTGTCACAGGCAGCTGAGCATCCCTCGTTAGGGGCCCTGGGGGCTCCAGACGGCATCATCTGCAGCATCTGCCTTGCTGGCTGATACCGGGCTTCCATATGCTGCGCTAAATAAATCGGGAACATAAAGAGGGGGTGGGATCTCTCCTTGCTAATACACGACCCATCAAAATTCTGTAACCGTGCCAGGAAATCGACACGTTATATCAATGAATCTTTTTGACAAGCTCGAGTGGAAAGGGGGATGATCCTCATTTTACAGATCAAGAAACTGAGACCAAGAGAGGTTATGCGCTCTGTATTAGGTCCTGTAGGTGAGGCTGCTGGGAGTCAGATCCAAGTTTGATTTTAATGCTCAGGCCATTTCACTACAGCATGTTGCTCCTCAGCCAGAAATAAATTCCTTCCTCTCTTTCCATTACCGTGCAATTAGGAAAAGCAATGGTCTTAAAGGGACACCGCTTTACTCTCACTATGCTCTCACGTCATCAGGTCATAGCATAGACGATACTTCAGATCCCACTCAATGCTCGGGACAAAGTGCCAAGAAGTATCTTCCCTAGGTGGAAACCCAAAGTCTGAGGCCCTGCGGCTTTTCGAACAAAGAGAATCACTCAACCTGATCTCAGAACGAGAAGCACCTTAGAAGGCCACTTTGACACCTCTTTGAAATCCTGTAGACAGCCGCGAGAACTATCAGTTTGAAAGTAATGGCCAGCAAATTCCATATTATTCAGGTGATGGCACGCAATTCCCGGGAGTGTGAAAACACTTCAGTGTAAGGTGAGATGGACGCTGTGATTTGATTTCTAGGGAGGATTGAAAAACACAGAACATTGTGCAAAAGGCTCACTTTTATGCAAATAGAGCACTTTGCAAAGCTGGGAAAGACACAGACGGCGGTGGGGGGGGGGACAAGGAGGACATTTCTTGGTTTGATGAAGGTGGGGATCTAATTTGCCCACCTCCTGCCACGCTCTGAGGAACTCCAAAGGCTTCTAGATATAAAATGTGGACAAATTCTGCAGAACCTTTATTAGTTAAATGAAAAAGGACATGAAATGGTCTTTGAAGCTTGGACGGAATGACACTGGATTGGAGTACGAGGTGGGGAAGAGAACCTCCCTTTACTTGGTAAACAAAACAAATTAGTCCGTCTTTGAAGGGAGAGCGGTCACGTTTTATTTTCCTCACGATAACTATTTTTACTAACGTGGCTCCTTAAGCTCTCAGATAATGCAGTGGAAGGAGGCCCGTGTCTGAGTATCCCAAACCCGGCTTCAGTGCCCCCTTGGGCACGTTCCTGAGCACCCGAGTTACGGACCTAGCACAGCTCCCGACCTACAATGGGCATGCAGTAAATGGCAGTAGTAATTTTTATTTTAAAATGTTTAATAGCAGAGAGCTGAAATAAAAAAAGATTTTAAGCACCAGGAAGCTTTCCAACCCCTGGGAGGAGATTTTCCATATCACATGGTGTCATCCGGCAAAGGGATAAACTGTTGGGTCTTTGCCCAGGCATCCTCACTTCTCAGAAACAGAAGCCCCCAAGTGACTGCGTTCTCAAACCACACGAGCCGCCGTGAACTTCATTGGCGGGTAATGAAGGACGCACAGATGGGTAATTGGGCTATACCGGGTGGTCTGCACAGAGAAGAAGCCAGGAAGCCCCCTTCTGAGGGAGATGTGTCTTCTGGTTGTTTCCAGAAGAAGTTACCATGGCACCCACTGGGTCTGACCGCTAAAGCCAATTCTGCCACCGTGCCCGTGGCTGACAGGATGGGGACCACCGTCCCAGCCAAGTCAACGTCGACAAGGAAGCCCACGTGCCAGTCAGATGATTTTCATGAAATTTTGCCCTTCCACAAATACTTGCCTATTCTGGGCCACGTACTTAGCTTCCAGGAGCTGATTCCTGCTCTTGGAGAGCTTTGTATTTGATGAGGAGGGACAAATGAAACAAGTTCTCCAATGAAGGCACAAGATGACTTTAGTTTGTGGTGAGTGCCGTGAAGAAAGTAAGAGGGAGCGGCTGGGCGAGGGACGGGTCGGTTGTGCAGTCAGGAAAGAGGTCGCCCAAGAGCTGATAGGAGAGCCACAGGCCGCAAGGCGGGAGGGGGCTGCTGTAAGCAGAGTGCGACCTCAGGGCAGGAACAGGAAGGGCCGGCGTGGCGGCGAGGGCGCGGGTGGGTCAGCAGGGCCAGGTCACGTCCAACCTGGAGGCCACGACAGGGCTCTGGAGGTGATTTTAAGTGCAGGGAGGAGCCCCGGAGTTGGGGAGGCTGAGCAAAGCAGTACTATGATCTGATGTAAGATCTGGGAAGATGGTTCTGGCTGCTGGATGGAGATGGGATGGTTGTGTAGAAACAAAGACACAGAGAAACTGGGGGCTCTGGCAGCCAGTAAGCCCGGTGTGAAGGGACAGCGGCTCAGGCGAGGGTGGTGGCCGGATTCTCTCTCTTGCCAGCCCAGGGGGCACCGCCACGGTGGCTGGGCACTGTGGCCCGGACAGGAGTGGATTTCCACCCTACTCCTGGCCCCTCTGTCTGACGGACGCTGTCATGTGCTGCCCCAGGGCCCCCTTGGGATGGAGGCACTCATTTCGCCAGCCGCCGGGCATCTTGGCTGCTGCTGAGTTGCCCGGCACCCACACGGGGCTGTGCCAGGGACGGTTATGCCCCCTTCCTGGGGGGCAGCCTACATCCAATGGTCATGAAGGGACAAGTTCTACCCCCTTGCCTCAATTCAGGACAACTGTGAAGGACCGTGGATCCGGAAGTCCCCGTGGGATGACCGAGGCCATGGTTACAGCTGCGTTATTTCACTTGTCCCTTTGCTACATCCTGCTTCACTTCCTCCCTCCCAGGTCTCGTTCCTGAGGGCCCTCCCCGATCGATCGACCTCCTGTATGCAAATCTTTGTCTCAGAATCTGTTTCCAGGGCAACCCCACCTAAGACCCCCGCCATCAGGGGTCACTGGGACTCTTTCTTTCTTGCCACCTGAAGGAGGCTGACTGAGAAGGCGGTGGGAACAGAGGCGGTGGATTCTGCGCGAAGCCCATGCTTCAGCCTCACCGGGGCCTGGCATGTCCGCCAAGGAAGCCGGGCTGGCTTTGCGCTCTTAAGCCCCAGGTGGAGCGGGGATTTGTTTCCCTCTTCTCCCCGCACACGTACTCTTTATGTATACACAAATGCCATGACTCTCCTTAAGCTTTCGCCGTGTGCGATCCCAGGGCCGTAACTGCAGATCATCACGTGCACTTGAGACCCATCCACATGATGTGCGGAATTCTAAGGCAGTGGAGTTTGGTAGCTCTGGCCGGCGTGGTGGCCGACTTCTGTCCGCGCTGGCTCACGCCCGCACTCGCTCTTTTATACCCCTCTCTGTGTTGCCGGGGCCCGAAGTCCAGAAACCACACTTCCCACCATCCCCTGCCAGCTGGTTTCCATTTAGGTTCTGCTAATGAGAAGCATTCACGGGAGATTTAGAAAGTACGCATAAGGGAAAAGCTTTTTTTTTTTTCTGCTTAGGCTGTAGCAGCAGGAGTTCTGAGTGCCTGCAGGTGTCTTTGGGTCCCAGCAGCCCCCCAACTGTCAGCGTGGGGGGCTCTGAGCTGACTGCTCCGTGGCCGGTGGGGGGATCCCCAAAGCAGCAGAAACAGCAGCGGCAGGAGCCTCAGAGGCCAGGGCACTTGGGTCCCCATTATTTTATCTGCATTCCTAATCGGCTCTGGGGTCATTTTTTTTTTTTTTAAGATTTTATTTATTTATTTGACAGAGAGAGACACAGCGAGAGAGGGAACACAAGCAGGGGGAGTGGGAGAGGGAGAAGCAGGCTTCCCGCGGAGCAGGGAGCCCGATGCGGGGCTCGATCCCAGGACCCCGGGATCATGACCTGAGCCGAAGGCAGACGCTTAACGACTGAGCCACCCAGGCGCCCCGTCTGGGGTCATTCTTATAAACTCCTCGGAAGTTAGAATCCATTATCAATCAGCATGCCGTCTAGAAAACAGAAACCACTTCATGCACTTCGTGCATTTCAGAGGCGGTGGCCACACCGGTTCCCTTTTTGTTCCTGCAGCCCAAGGGGCTTGGTGCTTTCTGTAAATACTTATCTCCGGTGACAGCACCTTCCTGTTTCGCTCCTCCGCCCTTTTCAACAAAGTTGTAACCAGTTCCCGGTATTAAATCTCCCTCTGAAATGCCTGAAGTGGTTTCTGTTTTCTCAACGGCATGCTGATTGATAATGGATTCTAACTTCTGAGGAGCTTATAAAGAATGACCACAGAGCAGATCTGGAATGCAAATAAAATAATGGAAGTAAAGCCGCCAAGTGGATAATTTATAAAGAACTTTTTTTTTCCTGAAAGAGATGTCGCTAAGGTCCACGAAGGCAGTCTATTTCATAAAAGTCGATCC